TCCTTCGTCAAGCCCTGTGTGGGACCTCCAGCACCGTCCACAGCACTGAACCCAGGAAATCATTTTTTTTGTTGTCACCAGCACTTGGAGGGAGGGAGGCTGGAGTAGGGACAGTGCAGCCCCCAGCCCCATTGAAACCTCATCCTGGAGAGATTTTATACATTCAATTTCTAGGCAGAGAGCAGAAGGGCGAGGCTTCATTTTCCAACTTGTCCCGAGTGTTTTATGAATAAAAGAGAGGACCCTGCATGGTTATTTCAATGGTTTCCCAAACAAAATGGGTTTTGGCACCGCTGGAGCGTTTCTTGCAGGACCTCTGTGTGCTAATCTCAAAGACTGCCACTCCTGCCGGGTAAAAGATTGGGAGCAACACTGCAAATATTTATGGGGCTGTATGTCCAAGTTCTAACTTGGCTGCCTCCTTTGTTGTCCAATCACCACAGCCGAGGGGCGGGATCTCCCCACGGGCACAGAGAAAGGTTGTGCAAAGGGCTGGCACAGCCCTCGCTGGTTTGTGCCATGGCATCCACCCTGCCTGCCGGTTGGGGGAGAAGGGCAACAAGGAAAGTCCAGGAAGCAGCAGCAGCAGCAGCAGTGCTGAAGGGAGCTTCTGCTGGGCCCAAAATCCCCCTTCTGTCATTGGTGGATAAGAGGGCCCTGCGCGTGGATCAGTTGTTTTCAGCAGGGAAAGCCACAGCGGGGGCTCCAGTACTTCTTGTGCAAATGGGGGGGGGGAGAGAATTCCTTTGCATGGCTCCACCTTCCAACCTGCTCTCGTCAGATGCCTTCCCGCAGCTGCAGCAGGGCCCCCGGGAGTGTTCTTGCACGTGTGCCAGCTACAGTGGGCTTCTGCAGCCATGGGCCTGCTGAGGTTGTTTCAACTCAAGGAAACCCTAATCGAGTGGGAGGAGAGAGGGTGTGTGTGTGTGTGTGTGTGTGTGTGTTGTGGGAACAGCCCTCCTCCCTTTCCCCAGCAGTTCTGTGGAAATGCTCAGTCCTCCTCCTGCTGCTTGCCTTGGAGACGGTTCTCTCCACCCTGGTCCCCCTGTGCTGCTGCTGCTCTCTGCCCCGCTGACTTTGGCTCTCCCGTGTCCCACATCCCACACTAGTCCTCTCTCCCTGGTTGCCCTTCATCCCTCTTTCATCTTCCAAAGTCAGGCAACGTGGCCTCCCACCAGTCCTTGGGCAAAACAGGAGGCAGTGGCCTTTCACGGTTGCTGCTGCTGCTCGGCTGCCAGGCAAAAGGCCCTTGGAGGACCTCGGCTCTTCCCTTCTCCAAGGGAAGAAATGCCCGTGTAGTTCCAACCTCTAGTTTCAATCCTTGCACCAACCACCTCAGGCTGGCACTCGACCACTTACTCCTAGGCTTCCCTTTTGGAAGGTGCTGTTAAGCAGGCTCAAGGATGCCAGCTATGATCACTCCAGAAAACTTCTTTAGGCAGCTGAAGATGAAGGACAAATTGCAAGAACTGGGTATGTCTAGCTTAATGAAAAGAAGGACTGGGGTGGACATGATAGCAGCCTTACAATATCTAAGGGACTGTCACAAAGAAGACAAGGTCCACCTGTTCTCCAAAGCAAGACAAGAAGCAACGGGTGGAAACTAAGCAAAGAGAGAAGTAACCTAGAACTAAGGAGAAACTTCCTAACAGAACAATTAACCAGTGGAACAACTTGCCTCCAGAAGTTGTGGATGCTCCATCACTGGAGGTTTTTAAGAAGAGACTGGACAGCCATTTGTCTGAAATGGTATAGGGTTTCCTGCTTGAGCAGGAGGTTGGACTACAAGACCTCCAAGGTCCCTTCCAACTCTGTTGTTCTGAAGCAAGGTGGCCTTGACTCAAGATCTCCACCTAGGCTTGGGAAAGTCCCTGAAGATACAGTGGAGGAGGACTCCCACTGCTAATACAGTATTTAAACTCTCACCCAGCAATCTGACACGGAAGCACCGTGCTCAGAATGGCTAAGGTGTAGGTCTTCTTGTTTTCTGCAGCTCTGTGGCCTTGAGTACCCCCAGGGTCCTCTATCTCTGGGTCACGGTTTGATCTGCAATGGGGCGAGCAAGTTCACAATCCAGACCAGTTGGAGGAAAGAGGCCACCCTTTGACCTTGACAGGCCCATAATACCTGGCTGCTAAGTGTATGGGGGAGCGGGGGCGGGGGGGGGGAGAGAAGGTCCTGTTCCTTACCTGTGTTTCTGGTACAGAAGATGCTCCATCATGGCCTCTCGCTTCCCTGGGGATAAAAGGAGGAGACAAGTGGGGTGGGGAGCATCTATGGAGTGGCTGGAAAAGACCCTCGCCCAGGGACGGAGACAGGAAGGTGGGCCCCGAGCCTTCCGCAGGGAGGGAGATGGGAGAAAGACATCCCCCCCAGCACCCCCTCCCCAGTGCCCTGAATTGAGCCAGGCACTATATTGATGCCAACCTTCTTCCAACTCTCTGTGCTTCATTCAAGGGAGAACCGGAAGGCCGGCTGGGGGCTCAAGCAGGCTCTACTTCCCGTTATGGAGGGAGGATTAGGTGGCTCCCCACATGACTCGGAGACCACACGCAGCCCATTTTAAGAGGCTCTGGGTGGACTCCTATCTGTTTAAAACACCATGGAGCCCCCATTTCTTTTTAAAAAGTAGGACATTCACAGCCACACTCTGGAAGGATTTACTGCCAGGGGCCTCCGAGACTCACTGCAGCTGCCAGCTCCAGCCCTGTAGATGCTCTGCTGGCCACAGAGCAGCTGATCTACACGCCAGCTGTTTCTTAGGGCCCTCCCAGGATTTTTAACTGAGCCCCGTGGCCCTTTCCGCTCAAGGAGTTCTGCATAATCCATTCCAACTTTGAGAAATTAAAGCCCTTCCTAGAAGTTGCTTCTTGTCTCTGCTCAACCTCCCCCCCCCCCAAGGAGTCTGACCGAAGGCAAAATCTACCATCCCAAGGAAAGGGATGTCAGAGACTGCTCGTTGTCCCTCTACACAGTTTTACAGTACAGGCAGTCCTCGACTTATGTCCATTCTTGGAACTGGAAAATTCATCCTTTAAGAGAGACATCGTATGACAGTGATTTACAACCTCCCCTTCCGGCTTTCTCACAGACGTTGCTTGTCGGAAGCTGTCTGGGAAAGTGGCAAAGGGTGATGATCACAGGACTGCAAGGATCCTTCAACGGTTGTAAGTCACTTTTTGAAGCACGATTGTAACTTTGAGCAGTCATTAAACAAATGGTCGTAAGTTGAGCACCCCCATCTAATTTCAAAAACAATCCCTAGATCAGGGGTAGGCAACCTTGGCTCTTTTATGACTCCTGGACTTCAATTCCCAGAATTCCTGAGTCAGCATAGCTGACTCAGGAATTCTGGGAATTGAAGTCCAGGAGTCATAAAAGAGCCAAGGTTGCCTACCCCTGCGCTAGATGCTTTAAAGGACAAAAAAAAAAAAAGGGGGGGGGGAGGAAATTAGAAGCCAAATTGTCTTTTTGAAGTATTTTCGGAAGGAGTTGCTATTCACTAAAGAAGTCACCCAGATGACTGTCGCAAAGATGTTTTTTTTCAAAAGCAACTGGATTTTTTCCCCCCTTCAAGATGTTTCGCTTGGGGGAATGGAAGGATTTATAATCCTTGCAATCATCTGGTTGTTAGCGCTCTTTCTGAGAGTCATTGAGGCCACTTGGAG